AGTTCGATGCACAGATCTGGAATAACAGGCATGGCGCCTCCTGAGTGTGAAGTGATGGACCATGCAAATCAGCTTAGTTAAAGGAGTTTTGCTCTGGAGTGAGGATACACTGAACACCTTATTGTGAAGGTGACTGAGTATTACTGTACCTTGTAAAAGCACTTGTAGCTGAAATGGAACGAAACAGTGGAAACTGGGAGGACAACCCAAGGTAATTCAAAATCAGGATGGTAAGTGTGTTTCTGAATAATTACCGCTAAAATGGCAGCTAAATTGAACTGTGACCCCTTAGACAAACTGTATTATGTAGCTACTTATGTCGAATACCTAGCCATCAGAAACCCAAATAGGATTCGCTTGCAACAGCTAGGGCAAGAAGTCTAAGCCTCCTTGCACCAAAAGTGCAGTGGGAGTGGAACTTTGAGACTGAATTAGACCATGATTAATGACATGACTGCCACCATTGCAACTGACCTCCACCCTGAAGTGAAGTTACTGATTTGAACTTAGCACAGTGAGACAGAAAGAGCTGAGGAAAAGACACAGTAGGGAATACTGATCAGGCTTGCTGAGAGAAGACATGGGGCCCAGGGGAAGATTAAAATTAGGGGCCCTTTGCAGTAATGAAAAAAATTACAAATTAAATGACAAGAACTACCAATGCTCAAATATGACCGAAAATTGACTGACTGACTTAGGAACACTAGCAATTGAAAACAAACTTGCAGAACAGTTAAATTTTGATTATGTCATAGATCACTTTGCAAGTTTAAAAACTAGAAAGGCACATGTTTAATCATGTATTAAAATTTAATGATGACTTCATTATACTTTAATTATAATGAACATTATTATGGGGCCCCCTGAAGTGAGGGGCCCGGGGATTTATCCCCTGCTCCCAACCTCTCAGTGGGCCTGATACTTATTACTGATTGACAATAGCAAAGAGTTGCAGCTGTAAAGTAAAGGGACATACCCCCTGACACAAGGAGGAGAAAGAGGACTCGAGGACTCAACTCTAGAGAGCACAAAAGGAGAAACTGTTACCGGCCCCTTCACTAGGTAGATATAAGTAGCAGGCCCTGAGTGACCTCAACTGTGACTATGAATCTGCAAACTGGGACAGTATTATCATAGTATGCATAGAGGAGAAATGAAGGCTTGCTCTGGCTGGCAAGGCTGCCCTGTAGGCAGGGCTTAACACAATTTGAAATTAATTGTTGTTTGATGGACACAAACCATGACAAATACAAAACAAACTAAGAATTTGGCATGAAATTATGCATGGAAATGCAACAAAAACACCCAACTGCGGGGTTGAGTTAGTCAGAGAGGGAATGAGTAAGGACCCTGGAGAACCATCGCCTCTCAAAGACCAATGTTAGGAGTCGACCTATATACCCAAATATGGAGCAGAGCATGGGCCTCCTGGCACCTCTCACTCCATTGTGATGATGGAATTAAGAGGGGGTGACCCCAAGAGGACTACAAGACCTCAATACACAGGCCCAATGGATAGGAGAAAGACCCAAGGGAGAGAGGGAATTGGATAATAAGCACAGCTAGGCTGTGGAAGGGACCCCAGGGGGATTCAAGCCTAGGAGCAGAAAAACATGAGTACAAACGCCTTTGGAAGGGGAATTGGTTAAGCAGCTGAGAGAACAGAGACACTGCTAGCCAACCCAGCCCTCTATACAGAAGGGGTTTGGCCAACAACAAAATGGCTGCTACAGGAGAGACCCTGCCATGGAATGCTCCACCCCATTCATAGAAAGCAGGTTGATGGCTGGCCTAGCAGGACCAGGACCAGCAACAGGACCAGGGGAGGCAGAGCCAGCTGGCAGGCCAACGAGTGACATCTATGGAAGTCCCCCTGAGGTCTGTCTGTCAATAGAAATGACCCCACAGGATGGAAGGCCCCTGATGGCCAGGAAACCCTGATGAGAAGAAAGTCCCCCCAAGAGACCCGACTGTCATTGGAATAACCAGCAAGTGGAGGCCCCCCCAATAACAAGCCAGCCCCTGATGACCAAGTAACCCTAGAAGGGGGGGCGAGAGACCATGACAGGCAGGGAGGCCCGAGAGGCAAACAAGGGAAAGGGCCCCTGAGGGCACGTCCTGGCATGAAGGGAGGCCCACAAGGGCCAGGTGTAACCCTGGAGGGAGAGAGGGCTCCTGAGGGCCAGGTAACCCCGGAGTGTGGGAGCGCCTTTAAGGCCCTGAGGGCCAAATAACCCAGGAGAGTGGGTGGGCCCATGAGGGTCAGGTAACCCCAGAGGGTGGGAGGGCCCCTGAAGGCCAAGTAACCTT